CCGTATCCATGGGTTTCCTTTGGAGCGAGGGTTTGCGTTAGTCCACAGCGTCCTCGACCAACATTTCGTTGACCGTTCTTCCGCGATCCCTTTCACAATTTAGCCGTGAGACAACATAACTCGTGCGCAACGACCGCGACGTCGCCAGCCACGCCTATAAGCGCCTTACTGGCAGTCCTTTCCCCACGACTAAACCGCCACATACGCAATCGCGAGCTGTTTCTGTTGAGCTTCTGCAAAGGCCAACTTAAAGGCAGTTGGCACGATGGTTTCCCACTCGGCCTAAAATGCTAGTAGGGCGCTGTATAGTGGGGAAATGGCGAAGAAAAAGCCTCCGTTCTCAGTGACTTGTAAATCGATTTCGGACGAGTTTCCCGTACGCATCTTGCCAATCACCGCTACCGAAGATACGGCTGCATGCAGCATCACGGCCGCTTCATACCAATCCCTTTGCTTCATAATTTGCTCGTTTGGGACGGAATGTTGTTGCTCGATAGGGCGTTATAGGGGTACCCCCTTGGAAAAGGCGCCACGGAGCGCCTGTCCGAGGTCACGGAATTCTGTTAAGCCAGTCGTATAAATCCTACATCTGTATAGCGATTTATCGTGCCAACTGCCTTTACATAGCGGGTGGGGTCACAATGACCTGCACAGGTCTATTATTTGTTGTTCATTGTCTGTGAGAAATGTTCTATTTGCAGCTGGTTACCGTGCCCGTGTGAATCGGCTCCGTCTGATGAAGTGGAAGGCTAAACTCGCGAGAAAGTTCAGAAGAAGATTTGCTCACTAATGGAATCACTGAATGCAGACCTTACCTCTCTCTCCTCCCCCCCTAACCTCCGCCAACGCTGCAAATTTAGTTTGGTGGCAATAAAAAGTTTGAAAAGTCGTCGCTGTTCACGCGGAATCAGAACAAAGCTTACCAAAGCAGTCTATGGTTAGAGATGAAAGAAGAGAAGTCTCACGAGTTTTTGAGTGTTTTTTTAATGTCCCGATAATCTCTGCAGGGTTTACATAGCTCTTAATAGACAGAGAGAGAATTAGAGCTCAAGGAGATGGCCAGCTGGATGTCTCACTCGTTTTGGACGAGTTAACGGGACGTTCGCTGATGGACAGGCAGACAGACAGACAGACAGACAGACAGACAGACAGACAGACAGACAGACAGACAGACAGACAGACAGACAGACAGACAGACAGACAGACAGACAGACAGGACTGAGTGGCACGCAGACACGGACAGTCCGACAGACTAACAGGCTTGAGTACAAGTCTAACACCTCATCTTGAAGGAAATTTTTCTCGCTGGAAGTGACACAGTCGCTGTTGACAACACGATTTGCTAAATTCCAACAAATCTGCATTGAAGAACTTTCCCAAAAGTAATTTTCATTCGAAAACGACAATTTTAAAGAATATTGATGGAATGATTTTATGAAGCTCTCATAATGAGATTTCATTGCCTTTCAAAAAGCGTCTGGTGTCGTGAGGTCGAGAACTGCAGCTAGTTGAAAGTAATCGACAGATAGACAGTATGCAAACATGGCTACACATGGATTTGTCTGAAAAACATTATTGTTCGAATCCTAAGATGAAAAAATTTCCCGTCAGGGCGGGGGTTCCACCAATTGAATGCCATCATGGAGTATGCGACAAGAGAATCGTAAATGGCCGCTCTGTAGTCATCGCGTGCGACATCGCGCCCGCAAATGACGATGGTTAGAGGTAGAGGTGGTTAAAGGTAGTAGGCTGCTATAGGCGATTCAGAACCGAAATGGTCATTGGATGTTCCACAATGAACAGGGGTTTAAGTGAAGTCCGTGTTCCATTGATCAGGTTTAATACGAGCTTAAGCAACGCGCTGCAATCGGCCTTGCGCGCGACCGGAGCGCAAATTACGCTCTTGCCGCGTTCTACCGCCATCATTGTCCCAGCAACAATTGGTGGAAAAGGCTGTTCCGCTTTGCTTATATCCGCCCATTCAAACACCCTCTTCCGGTTTGCACAATACTTGACGGTATTTGATAGTTTATGGACAAGCGCCACGTTGCCTGGACGGGAGGAGTCAGGCGTGGCCCTCCTGTAATTTCTTTTTTGACCCTTTTAATGGGACGCAGTGGGAACGCTTTTGACAGACATCATCGCGACTCTGCTTTGGAACCGAAACTATAAATGGAGCCCCGATTGACGCAGCGAGAACACACTGTAATTTGAATGGCCCCCTTCATCACATCGCCACCTTCATTGGAGGGTTCAATCCTTCTAAAGAGTAATTCAGAAACCTTGATAGTTTTTGCTCTTTCCTTCTGCTCATCGGTGAGGTCTTCTTTGTTGACTTCATTCAAGTCACTGGCAGGAATGAAAAAATCTTCGCAATTTCCGAAACATTTCATGAACTGAAATTACTCTTTCACTCCCAATGTACGACAGCTGGTCGACTGTAGCTTTTCTCCAACTAGCCCTCCTGTACTGCTAACGAACCTTATGACACAGAGGCTTGTAATGATTACATTGCACTGGGTGTAGACGTCCCATGAAACCCTCCATTCGTTCAATATTAATGCCACTATAGGTAACTGCAAGGAAAACTGTGAGAACTGTAGTGTAGTTCGCTGCGGACGGTTCAGCGTGTCAGGCGGGATGAGTTTGGCGCGGTGCCAAACCCGTTCTCCACCAGTTGTTAAAGCGAGCAATGATATGACTGTATCATATCGTTCGTATTACTCGTTTTCTACCACTTTTTGTCGCATGCGCGCTTCAACAAGAAGGCAGAGAACGGTTGACTGTGACACACTCATACTGCCTGACACGCCCAACCGTCTGCAGCGAACTAAAGTGTATCTTCTCATCTGTAAAAAGTGTGCGCTAGTCGGCGCGGTAGGGCATCAAATCGAAGTAAGCTAAGCCTGTACAGGTCACCTTCTAAAGACCTCTCAATTCGTGACCAGGTGACTCATTTGGTCGATACTGCAGCTTCACAACAGTTTACAGGCGCTACCAGAATAAGACCTTTTAGTTAACATGAGGCAAAAGGAACTAGCAAAAGTGCAAAAGTGCCCCCTCCAAGCCAAACAGCGCTCAGAACTGCAACAGAGCACAGACAGCCATACGGACAGGACTGTGGGATCGGGTCCGAAGTCTACCGGGACATGGATTCAATCTCACTAAGGCCAAAGGTCGTGATACACAATTGCAATAAAGATGTAATACTTTAGTAGCACAGTTAGTCGACGTCAGCTAAGAGGTGGCTATGTGGGAGCCTTTCTTTCTTAGCAGTCTTTCTAAACAGGGAGAGCCTCCCAGCAGGATCCTGAACAGGAGTTCTCTTGCAGTGGCTGACAGCAGCATGGATCAGGCAGTAAAGACCTTAACAAAGGCGGTTTGAAGGGATGGGAGAGTTTCCCGACAAGGAAGTGCAGGATTTTCTGCGACCCTCAGCGGTTGATGGTAACCCAGGATGCTCGACGGCAAGATGATTAGGTCAGAGGTGAGGCTTTTGATGCTCAATGGCAGCGAGCGCCGGTACCTGGGCCATGACATGAGAGGTGGCTCCACCTGGTGAAATGAAGATGCTGAGATGGGCCTACGCTCTGGTGGTAGCCGGGTGAGTCTGAAGAAAAGACGCCAGTGTGGTCATGCAGCAGGCTCCTGTTCTGTTTAAGGCCCTGGAGTATAGGACCCGATCAGGCGGCCACAAGCAAATGAGGCCCCAAGAGCAACGGCTATTTCACTCAGGAAAGAGACCATAAAGAGTCCCAAGGAGATGTGGAAGGTCTTTGCCAAGGAAGTTCTTGCTGAAGCCCTGGAACTTCAACTAGTCCAAAAGCGAATGGTGGAAGATGGAAAGGAGAAAGTGGGGATATCTGTCAAAAGTAGTGAAAGCTGCGAGGACTATCGCCAAGGCGAAAAAGAGCGGCGTAAGGTCCATCTCGATAGGCAGACTAAAGGAGAGCGCAGTGACGACAGCAATGTTTAAAAGTCGCAATGAAATCTGAAAATTAAACTAACGGTCTTCCTGGAAAGGATTTACTACAGTAGTGTGGGCGACGGGAAGCAAAATCAGCCCAAAAACTCCAACTAGCCCAACGGCCGACATTGCTCAAAATGATTTCATATCACATTTCGTGGGAGTTTTTTGTCTTTTGACATGTAGTTCCGTGTGAGGGCAGAGATGGTTCGGCGGCTAAAAGCGAGGCTGGCATGCTCCTCTTTAGGAGATCGAATCCTGTCCAAGTCATCAGTCATGCTCATTCGAATATACCTAGCGCCGAATATTCTTCTTCCGTTTTCTATGTAATCTTTGCTATGGGAGTGACGTTCTCCCTAGCGTAATCCGCCTGACAGAGTTAACTTTATTGTGATCAGTTCAGGTTACGTGCTGTTTATGCCACTAACGTTTGCTCCATAACCCGGAGGTGGAGTGAGCGCGGCTGAGCGAATCATTTGAAGGTGGCTGTGGCTGCGCTTCAGTTGGACTACTCTATTTAGAAGCCATGTCAAACTCTTCATCAACACTGAGGACGATACCTTCACCTTCATAGCCTGCCACCACAATGCTTTTCATGAAGCAGTCAATACTGCATGGGTTCAAGAAGATTGAGAGAGAGAAAACCCAGTTTTCAACACAATCACCACCCTAGATAAATCTCCAGGCGGCAAGAGACATGGACATCCAACAAAAGATCTGAATTAGCAAAACCGCAATCGCTTACTGAATGGGAATGAATGCAGGGAGCGGGTCAAAAGAGACACTTCTCTTCCTCGACTTCCAAGGCGATATGACCTACACTTCATTAATTTCTAAATGGACATTTCCACCATCAAATTTAACAGCACATTGTACACTATTCTGATACTCCGCCACAGCCTTCTGGACGAGCGCCATTGAGAGA